CCCCAAAACCCCAAAACCCCAAAACCCCGCGATAAACATGCAAGAGTAAATCCATCAAATTAATTCATAAAAATACAACTAAAAAAATAAACGCAGAGAATATATTTTAATGTCTGTGAATCAAACTCAGCCGGATAGCCCCTTCCGATCTGCATTTTAAGAGTCAGTTTTTTCCAAGCATACTCCTAATTAAATGCGAGAAAAATTTATGAGAGATTAGAGCAAGGTCCAATAATTTCTAGACAAGGTAAATTATTAGTAAAAGTATGGCGACTAAGAAATTAAGATCTAATTGCCTATAGTAATCAGACAAAAATCACGCAATGAAATATTCATTCAGCCAAAGGATATGCAAGATTGAGGCACTATGTGTGTATCAGAACTCTACTCATAAAAAACCAGAGAAAATCTGTACAAAATGTTCACGAATGAAAACATACTCACTTGGAAGACTAGTTTCTTGCCGAGGTCGATGTCTATAAAAATTGGAGAGCTTCTTAATTAGGATAAGGATAGGACCTAACATTCAGTAGGTGCAAATCATTCCAATTATATGTCATAACATGCTTAGAGTTCAGGAGCTTTGCATGGGTTGCAGCTTTAACAATCTAATTTAAACATTAACAGCACTAATGCTGTAATATACAACACCAACACACACCATCAAGTCCCATCCTCTTAAGGTAGCGGTTAGCATTTCTAAAGTACGAATGACTAACCACAACAACAATAACATTCAAAATAGATTAAATTTTCAACTGGTTCAGGAAAACCAATGGATAATCAAGAAATAAAGAAGTTAGGAATCGTTTAGGACCCTCGTAAATTCTACTTGGACGTAGGAGTGATTCGAAGTAAATTTAGAAATGCCTCCAGAAATATCCAGTAGAAAATTAGCAATGAAGCGGAGCAAAAGGGTGCTCCTGGAATATTCAAAGTTTCAACTTCCCCTTCAAATCGATTGTTTGAAGATAATAATAATAAAAATTATCATCATAGAGCAGTCCAATCAAGCAGGGAACACGAAATAAAACAAATGCGATTTCACAAAGAGAAACTGATCAACTAGATCCTTCGAAAGTATTAAAACAAGGAGTAATTGAAGGAAAAAGAGATGAAGCAGGGTAAATTAACTGCAAGAATGATTGTAGATCGAATGGAGAAAATAGAGCACCGTGAAAACATCAAGAGAATCACATAAAAAATGAAACTAACTGATATGGAGCAAATACATCTCTTTAATCCATATAGCAGTGCTATGCTTGTAAAAGAAAACCCGTATTCTTCTGCAGAAAAAAGTCTTAGAACTAGTTCAACTTCTGTTAAATACGCCACAATATCCACCAATTCCAAGCAGAGATCTCGATAACCTAAATTAAACAAGAGCAAGAGTGATAATTAGGTGAAAAAAATAATGAGTCAATGTGAAATTTTTAGAAGGTAGATGAATGTTATAAATTTGGATATAAGAGATTTGGAAGATAATATCGACAGAGCAGATGTGATGCTAAAGAAACTGGAACTAGAAGATGAGATCCTAATTGCTGGGAAAGATTTTCTCTGAAGATTTTTATTAAACCTCACTCTTTATTTATCAATATATAAAACTTAATTTCATCAATAGCTTTTTCCATTTTCGGTAGAATGCATAATTATTTACGAAAAATTCACTTCATGGGGTTTTGGGGTTTTGGGGTTTTGGGG